TCCACAATTCATCTCAATTAAATTAGTTCAGATTTTTTGCTCTGAATAAAAGCCATGACATTCCCCAGAAACGCTTTGTTATGGACTATAATTTCTTTTTGTTCCCACTTTTCTTGTTTTGTAAAGAGGTTTTGTAGCTTCAACCAGATCTGGAGATGAAATAATTTTAACTTTCTTGCATTTATTTACTTTATTGGGGAACTGAATATGATATGATTATTGAAAATTTTTGAGATAATTTTTTTCTGATAATATAAACTAAGTCCTGAGTACCTTTACTGTGTTACAGGCTATTGGAAACGATGGTGAAATTTTAGAGGCCATGAGAACGAGGCGACAAGTTATTTTGGATAACATCCGGGACAATGATGAAGCTGGTGTTAATTACCATATGGTAATATCTCAGCTGTAATCAAACTCACAAAAATAAAAATACAACTTTTATCAGCTTTTGATTTTATTGCCAAGTTGCCAACTCTACTTTTTGTAGGAAATCGAAGCAAATGAGAAGCATCGATGCAATCTTCAAAATATGATTGAGGAGGCCATGAGTAACAATGGAAATAAAACGTACTTGCGTATTCTTAGTCAATACAGGCTCTTGGTGAGTTGATTAAACCCAGACTGAATATACATATACTGGACAAAATAAATTAGGAAATGACTGTTTTGAGTTGAATATGCATTTATTTGAAACTCTTTACCAAAAAAAAAACTTGAGCAAGATCATTGGCGTATATTTTATGTTCTCTCAAGAAAAATGCTTATCTAATGCCAATGACAGAAGTTTTCATAAGATATTCTTAGAGTTGCATTAGTATACTGCTAACTGCTATGAGTTGCATCAGTATTACCATATTTAATATATTCTACAGCTCAATTTCTTATTTTTGCATATTTGTGGTAAACTTTCCATTAGTGTAACAGTTTTACTTCGATTAATATAGGGAATGGCAAATACTGAGCTTCAGTTTGAAATGGCAATGAGGGATCAAGTGATTAACAACCAACGGGAAGCACTGCGAAACATGTGGGACTTGCTTATGGGCTTAGGACTTGATGAGAGACAGATCATGGACCTTGCATCTAAGAAGGGAATAACAATAGAAGAAGACTTTACAACGACACCCCATCTGGGGCTTTCTGCTAGGGAGCAATCACCAGATTTGGATTCCGGAAAATATGCTTCTTTAGGTCCTTGTCGTGGCATGGGGCATATGTATTCTAGATCGTCTTCCACCTTTCAGCACTCTCAAGAGTTAGGTCCGAGGTCATTGCCCCGGGGACATTTGGATTTGACTCGGTCTTTTTGCAGAGAGGAACACCACAGTTCGTATTACTTACTGTCACATGATCAGTCTCCTTCAGCCTGTATGAGTTTGAGGACAAGTAGTGAGCACTGGGTCAGTGGAAGGTCAAGTCCGTGGTTTGGAACTATCGATAAACATCCTCAAGATTTGCGAAAATCATATCCAGTAACAGAGAACTCAAGCTTCAGCAGATGGTAAAATCTGTATACCAGTGTCTTCTTTCGGTGTTGATTTTACCAAGCAGAACAAGATATTTGCAATGATTGTAGTGGTGGAGTGCTAGTTTTGAGCCTACATCTGTACAGCGGTCCTCCTGATATAACGAGTAGCAGCCAAGTAGATTTATATGTAGGCCACAGTGGTACAGTTCAAGGTATGCGTATAACCCATTCAACTGCTCAGATTTATCCCACGTTCTGTACAGGGCCAATTTCTTTTGGTTCCAGATAAACCTGATGCACATGCCTCCCTTCTAATCTTCGGTAGTGTTGTTGTAATTACTTTTTACCCCTTCTCTAACCTTATCGTTCTTTGTTCGCTATCTTGTTCCCCGCATGTAAGCGTGTTGTAGTGTTAGGGTCTTTGTGAGGTTAACTTGGCAGGTAGTTTTACCGACTGTATGCAAAGAGGGGGGGTTTTTGGATAGGAGGAAGAAGATAAATGAAAGGGGTTGGTTAAAAGAGGTATGTCTAGTCTTCTGAAACTCCTCCGCCTCGCGGAATATAGTGCTAGTGCTAGTACTGTGTACATATGTTATCAAACTTATTACAGCTTTCCTGTGTGTTAATTGCTTCATTTCTTTGAAGTTGTAAGTACTTGTCTCTTTCGCTTCTAGCACCAACCTACAACGTAGAGAACTAAAAGAACAAAGCAATAAATTTTTAAACAAAAGCAAGGCAAAAAACAAGTTTATAACTCAAATTTCAATATGATAATTCAAATAACTTCTACACATGCTCTTTTGTTATTCGTTGTAGAAAATTTTGAGCTTATAGTAATGATACAAAATTAACAATATAACAATCAAACTTTAGCGGCACAACAAATCAAATTGATGATGTCACGATCGTATAATTGATAACATGCGAAAAACATGATCATTATTAACAATTTTTTACATATCTTCACTTTTACAAGTAGAACTGTTTAATTTATTATTCTTATAATGAGTTGTTCATTTATTTTATTCATTTAGATAACCAATCGATTTTCGATTCGAGCAACTTTTTTTAATAGTGCTAATCTTCAAATACAACTGAAAAAATTGAACGGTTTGAAGATGAAACCACACATATACACTGTAAAAATATAATTTAAAAAAAAAAAAAAATATATATATATATATATATATATATATATATGGAAGAGAGAAGTTCGAGAGAAATGTGAAAAACAGAGAGAAGGAACATGAAATAGGTTTAAACTTTTATTCTTTAAAATTTAAAACTTAGAGAAATACTATGATGACATGTGAGTGAGGAAAGAAGAAAAACCAACAAAATTTGTCTTCTGCGAAATTACATTACAGCTCATCATTTTATTTTGTAATAGAAGATCAAATTGTTTTTTCAACCCTCTTTGTTTGTCAAGAGAGTTTTGTTAATAGATAGTTTAGAAATTGAGAGTTTTAACAAAACACTTCCGGTACTGTTCACTTTTAACGAAAAAGCACATTTATACCTTTCCCTGGTACTATTCACTATACCTTTAAAAAGGGTTTTTCATTAAAAGGGAAGTTTTTTGGATTTTTCGTTAGTTTTCCTTTAGAAAGGGTTTAGGGTTCCCTTTCGCCTTGTAACATCTTTAAAAGAAGGCATTTTAGCCAAAATGGTCTTTGAGATTTGCATAACACATCACTTTGGTCCCTGAGATTGAAAATCAATAGAAATATTCCCTGAGATTATCCATCATCCATTATTTTGGTCATTCCGTTAAAAACTCCTTTAAGTGTCCCGGAGCTCTTGGCCGAAAGTTTGGGCAATTTTCAAAGCTTTGTAACTCAATCGTTTCTTAACCAAATTCGACCCATAATATATCAAAATGAAGATAGGAAAGTATAGAATAAGATTATATCATTTAGAAGCCCAATGGTTGCCGGAGATGGCCGGAAAATATTCTAAAAGATGACTGTTCCGCGGGAAAACTGGAAAACTCGCCAGAAACTGGGTAAACTTTAAACGTTTATAACTTCTTCAGTACTCAACGAAATCAAGTGATTCAAAAATGAAAATTATACTTCTCGATGAGATGAAGAGAATGGTATCTTTCTCAATGGCTAACTCGCCGTAATTTGGCCAGAAAACGGCTCAAAAGTGGCTAACTTGACGACCAAGACAGCCACTTTCGAGGCGTTTTTCGGCCAAACCATGGCGAGTTAGCATTTGAAAAGATACCATTCTCTTCGTTTCGTCGAGAAGTATGATTTTTGTTTTTGAATCACTCGATTTTGTTGAGTATTGAAGAAGTTATGAACGTTTAAAGTTTACCCAGTTTCCGGGGAGTTTTCCAGTTTTCTCGCAGACCAGTGACCTTTCAGGTTATTTTCCGGCTATCTCCAGCAACCATTGGGCTTCCAAATGGGCATAATCTTGTTCTACACTTTCCTATTTTCATTTGGATATATTATGGGTCAAATTTGGTTAAGAAACAATTGAGTTACGAAGCTTTGAAAATTGCCCAAACTTCCGGTCAAGAGCTTTGGGATACTTAATGGAGTTTTTAACGGAATGATGAAAATAATGGATGGTAGATAATCTTAGGGACCATTTCTATTGATTTTCAATTTCAGGGACCAAAGTGATGTGTTATGCAAATCTTAGGGACCATTTTGGATAAAAACCCTTAAAAGAAATGTCAAATTTTAAACATCAAAATGATATTTGATGGCTTATGTGGCAGTTTGACATTTTGTACAATTTATTTATTTATTTATTCTTAAAAAGGGGACGATTGGTGTCAAGCCACGATTATCCACCTCTTCAAAGCCTAGAGAAGCTATGGAGAATTTCACCATGACCTGGCCACAATCAAGTAGACTTACTAGTTCGGAGCATCGAATCCAGAACCTCTAGATATATTACAATTACTCTTGGGAACTGGATCCCCTCCGGATTCATATGCTGAGTAGGCGATCCGGGCAGTTAAAATTTGATCCAACGGTTACAATTATTATAACCTTTAGAGGGTCCCTTATTTGTAGCCGTTGGATCAAATTTCAATCGCTCGGATCGCTTGCTCAGTAGACTCAGTTTTATTGGATCAGAAAGGGATCCGGTTTCTTACTCTTGGATTTGTTATTCACTGTAGGAAAAGAACCTGTAACTCACTCTGACAGATTTGATGACTTGGAGCAGATTCCAAAATGTAAAAGTATTTAAAAAGCTAAATTTCCAAGAGAGGTTGTCTCGTAGAAACGGAAAACTTCCAAGAGGGGTTGATCAAAAGGACAAAACATAATAAATTAAAGAGAATAAAAACGCATGGCACGCCAACAAACTTGTTTAGATGTGATCAAAAGCTGAATTCACAACATTTATTATATATTGCATCACATTTATTAAAAAATCATTAAATGAATTAACAACTGCTATCAAATTTAACAGCAAAAACTTTGTCTTTAATCGACTCAGCGGTGTCGGCACCACATAAAAATTGAAGGCTAAATTGTAGAAAGTTTTTATTTTTATTTTTTGTTGTTATATGTCTCTGCAACAGTTTTTACGGGTTTATTTGGAGATGCTCTTATCCATCCGAACTCATTTTCCAATGATCCAAACGGGCACTTGAGCTGTTCTCACTCAGAGTCACGGTCCCTCCCTCCGAAAATCCTAAAACCCTGGAAATGCAAACCCCCCAAAATCAGCAACCTAAACCAAATCAAATCGCCAATGTCGAAGGAACCATCCAAGACCTTCAAACCCTACACCCTCTGCGAAACCCTAACGGGCCACAAGAGCGCCATCTCTGGCGTCAAATTCTCCTCCGACGGCCGCCTCCTCGGTTCCGCTTCCGCCGACAAGACCATCCGCACCTACTCCCTTTCCTTGCCCGATGACTCCTCCACTCCCACCATCTCCGCCGCCCAGACCTTCGAAGGCCACTCCCAGGGCGTCTCCGATCTCGCCTTCTCCGCCGACTCTCGCTTCATGGTCTCCGCCTCCGACGACAAGACCCTCCGCCTCTGGGACGTCGCCACCGGCCAAACCATCAAGACCCTCCATGGCCACACCAACTACGTCTTCTGCGCCAACTTCAACCCTCAGTCCAATATGATCGTCTCCGGTTCCTTCGACGAAACGGTGCGTATTTGGGATGTCAAGACCGGGACATGCTTGAAGGTTTTGCCGGCTCACTCCGACCCTGTCACCGCCGTTGATTTCAATCGGGATGGCTCGGTTATCGTTTCGAGCAGCTACGATGGGTTGTGCAGGACCTGGGATGCCTCCACTGGCCACTGCACCAAGACATTGATTGATGATGAGAATCCTCCGGTTTCGTTTGTTAAGTTTGCGCCTAATGGAAAGTACATTCTTGTTGGCACTTTGGATGACACTCTGGTAAAATCCCAATCCCCATATCTTCTTGTTTTTCGTAATTTATGATTATCATGTTTCATGTGAATTGCTTTGTTTGAATTCGCTATCGATGCTCATTGAGAGCTTCAAAATTCATGGTGGTGGAGGCTAAATACTGATTAGAACTCTGTTAATTGGGTAGTGCAAAGTAGACGTTAGGAGGGGACTCATGACAAAATATGAATTCCGTCCTACTTGTTCTTACTCAAGTTTCCAACCTTTCGTATGATCTTATTTATTTATAGGCGAAATGCCTGATAATTGGTTCTGAAACATCTGAACTAGTTCTTTCGGCCAGGTTTATCTGTTGATGCCACATTCGACACATTGCTTTCAGCATCCGACAGATCGGACTTTACTGCTTTTTGCGTGCTTTTTTGAACAATGCAGCTTGAACTTGATTGTAGGTTCAATAAATTTTCCTTGGAAAACTGATTTAGGGTGGGTATTTCCTGTGGTAAATTGGTAATGCTCCCTTTTTTTTTTGACATGCTTCACCACATTTCTAATACTTTTTGGTTTTCTGTACATTTCCTTTCGCAATTTTTGGTGTGTTCCCTGTGCATGATTTGAACACAAACAAGTGGGTTTATCCTTTGGTTATGAATTTATATGCATGAAAGTACAATAGGGAGAGCAATTGACTATGTTAAAACAATTTGATAAACTGGAACGGTTATTATTACATGCACATTCACTAACCTTTTTACTTTTTAGAGAGGGAGCGAGGAATGGAGAGGCAAATATTCCCGTCTCATGTCATCTCTTTCTTCTCTACCCTTCCGGGCCTTCCCTCTCTCCTATATCTTCATTTTCTTTTATGAAACAAAAAAATAAAGAAGAAGAACATGAGCAACTGAGCACTAAATTCATTTTCCGGAAGTAATTATTGCATACAGCTGATCTGGAATTTCTATCTTGTGTCTGCAGAGGCTCTGGAACTTTTCAACTGGGAAATGTCTAAAGACTTACACCGGTCACAAGAGCTCAAGATTCTGCATTTCTTCCGCATTTTCTGTGACAAATGGGATATACATTGTAAGTGGTTCTGAAGATAATTGTTTGTACTTGTGGGAATTGCAAAGCAGGAAGGTAGTTCAGAAATTGGAAGGTCACACTGACACTGTTATATCAGTATCATGTCACCCAACTGAGAACATAATTGCTTCTGGTGCACTTGGGAATGACAAGACGGTGAAGATCTGGACTCAGGAGAACTGATTCATTTCTGTTGTTGTAAATGATTGCATCTGTGGCACAGAGATTTTGACTTGAGGAGGGAGACTGATTTGTTGTATCACGAAGTTTGTCCGATTCCCCATGTTGCTCGACTCTTACATTCTTAGCCTTTTTTAGTAGTTATCTCGTTGTATTTTAGAACTTTGCTTCTTAGGTATCAGTTTAAGGTCAATTCTCTTAATTATAATTTAGGCATGTCTTGTAGTTGGTTGTTGTCTGGAGGACAAAAAGGTTTGTAACTGAAAACGACTCTCCTTCAATGCAGTCAGTAATGTTTGAAAATTGTTCATGTATGGTTTTTAGGGCTGGGAGAAATTGTGAACCAGAGTATATACTCTTAAGTCATTGTGGTAAACAGAGATCAAAGTTTGGTCCAGACTCCTTTTGTGGGATGTCCAGGGTGTGCAGAATCTGAAGACTGTTGACGTAAGAGTGGTCTGCTTGGTGCTCATGGACAGACAGAGATGTGTGGTATGAAAATACATGTTGGTTTCTCAATGCAGGTTTGTGAGCTTTTCTCCGAACTCTGAAAATGTCTCCGTCATCTTGAATGGTCTGATTTATATGTTCTTTAGTGTTGCATGTTAGCGCATGTTGCATATTGTACAGTAGTTTTCGGTTATATGTCCGTTTGAATGCTATGTGGTGAACAGCATTGAATTGATTGATTGATTAGCTTGATGCAAGTCCTGAATGTCTTGAGCAGCATCAACATGGTTCCTTCCGATTTGTTGATCTTCATTTTTGTCATGATAATGGTGGAAGATTGAACACATTGTCGCCGACAGGGTTTCTGCTATAGTACTGCATTGTCTCTATAAGCATGCAGGGTCCAAAGACCTGGGGATAATATAGTAATGTCATTTTAAAATGCGATCCTTTCTGTTGATCTTCTAACTCATGGGACACCGGCCATTTCTTTGTTTTTCGATCAATACGGCATTTTTGTGGCCAACACACTTTTTCTTGTGTTTTTGGTGACTTTTCTTTCTTAACGGAGCTTTGTACCAGAAGGCAAAAAAGAAGAGTGCAGAATGGAAGTAAGCATATTGTTCAGCTACTTGTTCCAAATCCAAAAGCATAAACAGATTAAAATATGTGAATTTATGAAACGATCCTCCGAACATGCCTACGCATCTTCAGTATATGGGTGATACACACAAGCGGATCCATAGAAGGACAAGGTGTTCCCAACGATTCTCTGGAGGCCGGAAAACACCTATGGAGGTTCTTTAGTTTCGGCAGAGAGTCCGACCTATGTCTAGGGTTTTATACGGGTTCCGTCCAACACTTTGTTTATTTTGTTAGACGATATATAGTTAGTTTAATCAAAATTCTGGTGCATGATCCATCCATGGACGAGACATGAGGTTACTGAAGCCTTCCCGCAAGGAAGAAGGCCATGTTGAAACTTTTTTTTCGTGGTTCTACCTCGTTGTTTCTTTCTTCATCTTACTAATATAAAATGGAATGGACCGTTTCACATATCATGATCCTCGCCCAATATGGGTTACCATTCCACATGGACTTAAAAGTGATAAAGCCCAAGAAGTTGACCTTTTATTTAGATAAGCTAATAGAGAGAATTTCTTATTAGTATTGTGAGAAAAACCAGTTTTATTTTCTTTCTCCATAAAGTATAGTAAAGCTTTATGACCTGGCTAAAAAAGATTTAGGTAGACTTTGTAATAGGTAATGTTGTTTTTACCATGATTTATAAATAAAGAGTGATTTTTTAATTTCTCAACGTTCTTTTCGTTCAATTTTTTTTAACTTTTTACATTAGGACTCCTAATATTAAAATTCTGAATCAGCTAATGGATACACAACTGCAATTGGGAAGGATACGTTCATTGAATTCATGGCACACTGATACTGAGCTTTTGCACATGCATTTGGGAGATTAATGAATCATGACATACTATGTATTTGATTTGTTGTTCATGCTTATTTTTATATATTGATTCTTCTGTCATTTGATTTTTATACATTGATTCTTATGTCATTTGATTTTATTGATTGATGATACACTTAACTTAATGGATCAGTATGCTTACTGCCATGAAATTGTGCACAAAGATTCTTAAATTATGCCATAAATTTCGCTCCATTGTGCTTTTGTTTTTGGATTCAATAGAAAAAAGGGAAATTTGAAACATGTGACTGAATAAGAGCTAGTTGGCACTAGTACTACGTTTTAATCATATTTTTTTTTTATACTTATAAGTAAGAGATTTTAGCTCAGAACCACAATACTGTTGGATAAAAAAATATTAAGAGTTGGTTTGTAACTCTACTACAATATTGTTTTGAGGAGCTTTCAGTGTAAGGCCTAAGTAACTAAAGAGTGGCTTATTGTTGTTCAATATATATTTTCTCAGTTATAGTCATAGTCATATAGCTCAATTTCATATAGGAAAGTGATTTATGTGCATTTTTTAAATCTTGTATTGTATAAATCATAGTAGAATTAAGTTAGATATAAAGAGAGTATTCGAGAAGTAGAAAAACGAGTGTGCATAAATTGCTTCACACTACAAATATATGTATTAGGTTTGTGATAATGCGAGACATTTACTTGTTATACCAACTGAGAGTTGTATACATATCAAACTGTAATACTTCTTAGAAAGAATAACTACTCATCTAAAAAAAAAACTCATCTATAGAGAAAAAGAATGACTACAATTTTAAATGAGTACAAATGACTACTTATTCACAGTGAAGAATGAATGTTATTTACATGGGAAACTAGATTTTTGGTTTATAAATGTGAACCCTTTCGCATTAATTAGCAGTTTCGAATCCTAAAAGCTAGCATTATATTTCCTAATTTCAAATACATGATTTCAACGGATAATTTGTTACAGCAACGGCTCCATTATTTTCAACGGATAGATTTTTTTTTTCTTTTTTTCTTCACATATAAATTAAACATAACGCTAGGGACACTAAATTTGTAGACAAGACTTTGTAAACTAAATGACAAGGAAATTGATGATTGAATTATTACTTAACCATTGATAAACGTGCTTATTTTTATTGGTGACACATCATTTAGTTTGCAAATTTTATCTACAAATTTAATTAGTCTCCCTAGCATTACCCTTAATATCAATATGACATAATTTTTCTTCAAAAACATGTATCATTCACAAACTTCTCAAATTTTGTTTCATTTGCCAAATTTGTTATTTGTAGCTCTTTTTTTTTTTTTTTTTGTCTATTTCATCCACCAATGGCGGACAAATCACAAAAAGGCACAAATTACTCAATTGAGGAAGATGTGCGCTAAGTCGAGCATTGATTGTGATTAGTGAAGATCCAATTGTTGGGAAAAATCAAGCTGGGACAACAATATTTACTTTGTGTCATTGTTTAAGAGAAAAATGTTGTACTTTGTGTTTAATTTTTTTAGGTTGAAAAGTTTATAAAAAAAAGTGATGAAATTTAACTTTGTTAGTTTAGACATAAGCCAAAAACATAAATAAAGCAATGGATGAGATTGAAATGAGAGAATCTAATCCAATGGTGCATAAGTGATGCAATCCAGCTTTGTTAGAATTTGATTTTTTTTTATGTTGAAAAGCTCAAAATTTTTTTTTTAAGATAGCATGTCTAAAATCAATTTAAGAAAAGTTAAAACAAAAATAAATTTAACGCGTAATCAAATTACTACATAAAGAAATATATAGCCCTAGAGTCCAAAAGATATATAGACCTTCATTGAAAAAGATTCTTTTTTAGAATCCTAAAGATTCATCGAAACTTTAAAATGAGCTTTTCTTTTATTTTATTTTTTAGTACATCGATATTTTTATAGGAAATGAGAGTTTGACTAAGCCACACAATAGGCAGCCTAATTTGGTATCAAATTCGTCATTCACGAGATTCGAACTTAAGACCTCTCAGTTCTAAGCGAAGAGGAATACTACCAAACCGTAATACTGAATGGAAACTTTAAAATGAGTTATATCTACCACTTTTTTAGCATCATATTTAACCTCTCATTGGGATGCTCTAACAATCAAAGGGCCACAGTAACCTTAACATATAAGGCACATCCCTATTCGTGTAGTATGCATGTAGGGTTAGGTCAATTGGAGGTACCCCAAGTAACCCAGCAACACAGCAAAGTTGCCACCAAAGGATAAGGGTGGTGGTGGGCTCTGAGACACCTAATAAAACACCCAACAGAATCCTCTTCGGATCCTTTTGGTGAGAATCTTGAGAATTCATAAATCGTGTCGGTTCATCGTACATTGTACGGTCAGTTTTTGTCAAAATATTGTTTATGTTTTTTTTAAAATAAAAATATTTAAAATAATTTATGACAACATGATATATGATGAATGAACACGATTTATGAATCTCTAGAATTCATATAAACAAGATCTGGCGAGGATCCGGACTTATAAAACGCGTTGGCCACCTGAAATGTAATGACAATGGTCATGCACCCAGATAACGACAAATCCGTACTTGCTTCGATCTCCTGCATTTGTTTATTGGATTTGCCAGGTTGCCCTGGCATTTCTTCAACGTCGACATGGAACCCTGAAAAAATAATAAGATTTTTTTCGGATTATTTTTGTGAGGATTTTTTTCGAATCATTTTTATGGGGATTTTGGAAATCTTTAAATCGTATTATTTTATCGTATATCGTATGGTCAGCAATTATTTTAAATACTTTTATTTAAAATTAAATATGAATAGTACATGGCGAAAACTAACTGCACGATGTACAATAAACGGACACGATTCGAGCATTCTTAGAATCCTCACAAAGATAATCCGAAGAAAATCCTCGTACAAAATGAGGAAAATAAATGGACAAATGGCATGTAGCCTTGTCGGCAGCTTAATCCTCCCATTCGTGGGAATTAGAGCTATTAATAATTTTGTAATTTTCATTAAACAAAAAGATACGGATCTCAACCATTCAATTTTATCGGTATTATTTAGATGGATCGTGTTTCAAATTTTCAGGACCGACTCAACTTATTATGCATCGGCTGATTTAAGAAAAATGTTCATGTTTCCTGCACGTGTTGGAATTGAGCTATATATATATAAAATCTGCATCGTATTCATCAACTGCGCTGTCAACGTTCGTTTTTCTTACTGGTCTGCTGGAGTTTTTAAGATTCTTAGGCTAATGGCTACTAGTTTTACAGGAGGATCTATAGGGATATGACTATAAACCTTTGGTTGTCGTTACTCTGTGTTTGTTTGACCGTCAAGATGTTAGAGATATGTAGGATTCTTAGCAAATTAAAAATAAGTCC